GGTGACTGCTACCGTCAAAAGTTATCCCCTCAAAAACGGGCCACTGATGTGGAAGCTGTCAGGGGCATAAAAAGTCGAATTGCAGTGAATTTAATTCCCCCGAGTGATGGCCTAGGAGGCGAACGAGTGGGGGCAGGGAGGGGGGTGACACGTGTTCTTCTTCTGCTTCACTGACTTCTGCCACCTTGCAATCCCATCCTGTCTCACTAGGAGGGGCCGCGCTTGCCCCTCTAATTGGATGCGCAGAAGAAATCACCTCGTCTGGCTGGGATGAAAAGGAATAAGAGGCAGCGGGGGGGGGAAGGAGGCTTCAGCCGGGCTCTAGCCAACCTCCCCCCCACACTCCCCAGTCCGCTCGACATCTGGCTTCCATCGATTTACGACTGCTCTTAAATTGTAACGACTAGTAATCTGGTGGTCTACTTTTTTGGTTGAAAGGAGCAAAAGAGTTTAGACCAGCAGGTGACTGGGAGAGATAGAACATTAGGGGAACCCAGATGTGTGACCAGGAGTTCCTTGGCTTGAAGCGTAACAATTACACATATTTGAACCTCATGAATGAAGGAGAACGTTCGCATTCCAGGTATTTGCATGGGTAAGGAAGAAGGCTGGTCCATCAACGGATCAGTTTATTTATTATCCTGAGCCTTTGAGCTCTTACAGGAGTTCATCGTCAGAGATAAGAAACAGCCACAAAAGAGGGGCTAGTTATAGTGTATGTACACCAATTAACTGTAAAGAGTCATCAGGTCGTGAGGGGAAGAAACAGCGATGAAAAGGGGGGAGGGGTGGGGGCAATTACAGAGGTATATGTTCGAAAGCTCAGGATAGTAAACAAACCGATCCGGTGCTCGACCAGCCTCCTTCCTTACCCATGCTGCTGTCGTGAGTTTGAATCTGGCTAGGCCGGGCCAGAACTTATGTAAAGCCCTTAAGCGACGAAAATACACCGCAAGCGCGCAATACGGGACTGATTTTCGCCATATGTATGGAGAAAACCGTTTTGCTGTACGTTGTTGAAGGTTATATAAGCACTCTCGGGGGTGACGTTAACCAAACTGGCCTCGTTAAGGGGCCGAAATGTGATAATGGAGGACTGTTGACACTTTTAACTATGCGGACTTTGACACTGCCTGTGGTTACCAGAAAGTTGAAATTGCAGCATCAGTAAATACTTATAACTTAGAGACCTTGGATCAGTATAATAAGCTGGTGAAAAAGCACACCACCTAGCACGGCCAGGACACCCTTACCACCCCTCCCCCCTCGTCTTCCCGCTCCAAACTCTTTGGACTGCCTGAATTTCATATGTGCGAGCACGATTTTGGTCCAAGGCAAATATGCACCCAGGGGGGGGGGCAGTGTGTTTCTAAGAGACTGGCCCTAGAGTATGCGTCGAAAGTCGTAAACTATACTTTCAGAGAGAAAGGACGGCGTACCTGATGCTGCAATGCTTGCAAACACGACGCAGGATCTCATTGGTGGCCATCTATCAGGGCATGCTGACTTCCCCAAAGTACTTACTTTAGCCAGACCAATGAAAGTAATTTTTATGTGTGTGTGTTTAAACTGACGTCTTCCATGTGGAGCCCCGCAGTTCCGGTGGTTAGAGCGGCGGCCGGTGAATTATTAATAATTAGATCAAACACATTATTTGTATTGTATATACATTTGGCTTGGTTGTGAGGTTTTACC